TAGCTTTGGAGCCTGTCTTAGAACTCACTCTGTAGACCAGGCTGTCCTCAAATTCACAGAGATTCTCTTGCCTCTGCTTCCCAAGTGCTGGTATTAAACACATGTGCCACACTGCCTGGTTGTGCTGGTGTTTTTGACTCTGCTATAGTTTCTTTTTTTGTTTTAATCTCTGTGTGTATGATATGTGTGTACACATGTGTGAGGAGATGCACTTGCCATGGCATATGTGTAGGGGTCAGAGGACAGGACAGACTTGGGTTCAGGCCTCACCTTCTACCTGGTGTGAGACAAGGTCTCTTTTCTTGTTCACTGCTGCATATATCAGGCTAGCTGGGATTTTCCCATCTCTGGCGCCCGCCTCCCAGTAAGTGCGCTGGAGTTACAGAGGCACGTGCTACTGCACTTGGCATTTAAGTGGGTTCTGGGGATTTGAACTTGTGTCCTTATGCTTTCACAGCAGTGACTTAACCCACTGAGCTATTTCCCCAGCCTGTTTCCTGGCTTCCTACACAGATTCTTTTTTCTTTTTTCTTTTTTTCTTTTTTTTTTTTTTCTTTTTTTTTTTTTTTTTTTTTTATGTATACAACATTCTCCTTCCATGTATATCTGCACATGAGAAGAGGGCACCAATCTTATAATGGATGGTTGTGAGCCACCATGTGGTTGCTGGGAGTTGAACTCAGGACCTCTGGAAGAGCAGTCAGTGCTCTTAACCTCTGAGCCATCTCTCCAGCCCCCCTACACAGATTCTTAATCATAGCTTTTCAACTATTGTCCTTTTCAGTCAGAATATTTACTGCTTTTCTCCTTTAAAAATTTTCCCCATTTCTGTGCACTGTTTATAAGTGAGTATTCCTTATCCAAAATGCTTTGGACCAGGAGTATCTTGGATTTTTATGTTCCTCAGTTTTGGAATGTCCTGATAATGAACTATTTGGGTGGGTGCAACTCGAGTCTAAACAAAAGAAAATTTGTGTCTGGAAGGCATTGTTGTATGATGTCGCTATTGATTTTTGTGTGCAAATTAATGTCTGCTCTGAACTGCACGTTAATGGCTGTCATCTGAAGAAGCCCCACTTCTCGGTTAGAACAGAGCTGTCTGTGTCTCTGCCGTTGGTGTCAGTGGAAGCATGCAGGGAGTTTTTACTTTGTTGCTCACTGTCAGCATCCGTTGGAGTCAGCCGGAGGGTTGTGAGTCACTAGTTGTTCCTTCTGCTGCTAGGTGCTCTCACTAGTCTTACTGTGGGTTGGATTTTTTCATGGTTTCTTGCTTTTGGCTGCTCTGTGTGTTTTCTTAAGTGCTTCTCCTCTGGGTATGTGACTAAGTTGTACACCAGGAGCTAGGTAGATAACCATAAAATGTACTGTTCAGGAGAGTCAGAGGGCAGCTTGACAACTTGTGCTAGGCCTGTCCTGGGTAATTTGCTGACCAGACACCGCACACTGACATGCAGTGACGCTCCCGCCAGCCTCTTCCCACCAGCATCTTGGATGCATGTCCCTCTACCTCTTGCTTCCGCTTCTCACCTGTCTGTCAGATAAGAAAGCAGAGATCGACATCCTGGCTGCAGAGTATATTTCCACAGTGAAGACTCTTTCTTCAGAGCAGCGTGTGGAGCACCTACAGAAGATCCAGAGCGCCTACAACAAGTGCAAGGAGTACAGCGATGACAAGGTGCAGCTGGCCATGCAGACCTATGAGATGGTGAGTGCAGGGGGCGAAGTGCAGGCTTTAACTCCTGCCTTCCATGCCCCAGAAGGAGAAAGATGAGCGGCAAGGGGTATCTAGCGAGGGTGGGAGTTCGGAGCACCCAGAGAGAGGATGCACTGGGAGCCTTCATCTGGGCCTGCTCCCATGATTTTGTTTTTTGGGCCGTTTGTCTTGCTTGTTGGTAGAACCATTGTTGGTGTTTTCTTGGGGTGCTAGGGAGACCTAGTCCATGGCCTTGTGCATACCAGGCAAGTTCTGAGCCACCAAGCTGCATCCCTGGCCTTCATTTTACTGTGAAGTCACGTTTTCAAGTGGATAAACACATCCCTTTTGCAGGTGGATAAACACATCCGAAGGCTTGATGCTGACCTGGCGCGCTTTGAGGCTGACTTGAAGGACAGAATGGACGGAAGTGACTTTGAAAGCACTGGACCACGAAGCTTGAAAAGCAAGTTGGCTGATGTTCTGTTTGCTAGGGATTGCAGTTTTGAAGGCTTTTGTCTAAATGTGTTAGGCACATGATGGTGAATGAATCTGGGTGAATCTTGCTCCTCTTTGGTCTGTTCTTTGATAATAATGGGGGTCTTTGTCCTTCAGAAGGTCGGAGTCAGAAAGAAAAAAGAAGCTCCCGGGGCCGAGGCAGGAGAACATCAGAAGAGGACACTCCAAAGAAGAAGAAGCATAAAAGCGGGTAAGAGGTTTCCTCCCTCTTGTTCCAATGGAACACCAGTTTCAAGCAGCGGGGAGAATGCGCCTGCGCGAATCCCCCACTACCCTAGTACGTCACACACTCTGAGACAGACAGGGTCACAATGGTCCTTGGACAGTCTCTTTATGTCCTTGGTGGTCAGAATGACCAGGGGGCTGTAGGAGTCTGAGCGTCTGCGTGCAGAAGGCCAGTTTTACTTGAGGCAGTGACAGACGCCTCCTCCGAGTTGGTGTGTGTGCCCCCCTGGGTGTCAGGAGACTGCTGTAGTGACAACCCCTTCTCCGAGTTGGTGTGTGTGCCCCCCTGGGTGTCAGGAGAATGCTGCGTTCTTACTGACAGTGCTGGGTAGAAGCCATCCTTTAATTAGCTGAACTTACTGTTAATGATGGCTTTATACATTGATGTGTGTTTTATACAAATTTGGTGTTAAACTAGGTGACTGCATTCACATGTGTCATTTATCTTGAAACTCCCATTGTTTCTGCCCCCAGAGGCATTGTGCTATTTCACTGAAATGATGTTTGGACTAAAGGGGAATGGCGAAGTGAAATGACCGTGAGTTCTGGGGACGGCCGGGAAGCTAGTTCTTGACGAAAGGGCAAAGGCAGGAAGCTGGTTTTTGAACGTCTTGGCTCATGGAGTGGAACCCAGGGCCTTGCATATGCTAAGCACGAGCACTAGATCTGTCACTAAGCTGCACCCCAGTCCGCACAGTGTGGTTGTGGTTTTGTGTGTGTGAGTTTTGGCCCAGGCTGCCCTTGAACTAATGATCTTCTGTCCTTAGTCTCCTAAGTACTGAGAGTACAGGCCCTAAATTTTTAGCTTTAAATTAAAAAAAGTCTCTGACAGTTTCATACTTGTATATAATGTATTTTGATCATATGCATTTACCCCCTCTCCCCTTTCTGGATCCTTCTTTCCGGTATGTCTTCTTCCTACTTTAATGACCTCAGCCTTTTTCTTTAATAGCCCATCAAGTGTGGATCTAACCAGTGGGCTGTGCCATCTGTGCAGCTGTGGTTACAGGTATCTGCTCATTTGGGAGAGGATCAGACTATAGGTTAGCAACTCTTGTGTTGATACCACAGATGGTAGTTTTCAGTTCTAGAGCACCCATTTGACCTGATCCCCTTCTTAAAAATACAGATATGGCTCCTTTCTTATTTATTTATTTATTTATTTATTTATTTATTTATTTATGAATGAGATAAGGTCTAAGGTCTTACTTACTCTGGCCAAAAAGCAATGAACCTTGAACTCCGGCATCCCGATTGCTGAGCACTAATTTACTTAGGATAGCAATTTAAAGTTCTTTTCCGTCAACGTTAACATTTCGAAAGGCTGTGTATCTTCTGTAAGTTGGCTTCATACTGCACACACTGCTTTTGGCTTGAGGAGAGACTGGCTGTGAAAGCAGCCCAGGTCTCACAGACTCTGGAGATGAGGGAATTGTCACTTTGCCTTTGTTGACATATATATAGCTCATTTAGTTCTCATATTCAGCACATATCCTGGGTGTACATGACTACCACGTGTAGGTCCTAAAGTGTTACATTGGAAACTGGGCCACCCTTCTTGCCAAATCTAGTGGATGGACAGCCCCTCTCCTGTCACAGATCACCCAGTTCCAAATGCTGCCTGTAAGGTAGTTTTGAATTTTGTATTTCTGACTCAGGGTGGAAGCATGATGGCTGCTCTTTCCTTCCCCAGAACCCAGAGGCTGTGCTTCTAGGTTTGCACAGACATTCTTGCTGCTGTTTTCTTCACTGAGTGTTTCACATAATGTCTTCAGCACAGGAGCCCAGTATAGGGCTCTGTAGGTTGTGGAGAAGCCAGAACCCACTGGCTGGAGCATCCCCCTAAGGCCTCAGGTATAAGACAGGCATTGTAACTGCTCCTAAAAACTCAGATGAGGCAGGCTGTTGAGTTATGTCTGTTGCTTAGGAGACACTCACTGCTTTCAGACCTGATTGCTGGCTCACTGTAGTGGTGGCTGGATGGTGACAGTTGTAGGGTACCTTCTCTGTATTGACTTTGCCTTGGCCCATTTCCTGTCTGGGCCACTATCCCAATTTGCATATGCCTGACAGGGGAGACTGCTAGAAGAAGGGGTGTGATCAGGCCTTGACATCTGATGCAAGAGCACCTTCCATGGAGGAGGTATCAGAGAGACTGAAGGCATTCAGCGCTTCAGTCCAAGCAGGCAGGGGGGAGCTTGGTGTGGCTTCTCTGAAGCCACACAGACACTTGTCTGTTGCTGCACAGTCTTTGTCCCTAGCCTGTGTTTGGTGGGGCTTTTTTCATGACCTAGATGAGAAGTGCTCAGTCAGGTTCTCGTGGCTCACTGGCCACTTGGCCAGAGGATAGGTATCAGGCAGAGTTACTTTCCTAGAACTGCCAGACCCCATCTGTTTCTCATGGAAGGTCCCATAAGCTAAGGTCAATGTTCAGTTCCTTGGCCGCCCCAGGGCCTGGTTTTCTGGCAAGCCAAGACCTGCCTGTCTGTGGGAACAAAGGGGTCAGTTTCTTCTGCATGCAGTTCCTTATCCCAAAGCTTGGATAAGCAGCTAGGTCCCAGCTGGGCTACCTGGGTTGTTAGGGAAGCTCACGGTGCTGTCTGGAGAGAGTTTCCTGGCCACATCTGGGGAGGGGAGCTTGCCTAGCCAAGGGCCAGGGACTGCCTGTGGGGTACTAGATACTAGGTAGTCTTCTCAGCTGCTTCTGCTCTTTCCTATGTTTTGTTTTCTGTTTCAGAGACAGGGTCCTAGTATGTACAAGCTGGCCCTGGACTTCCTTTATAGTTGGGGATATAAAGGCCTTGAACTCAGGCTCCTCCTTCCTCAGCTTTCCAAGGGCTGCATTAAAGACGGGTATCCCCACACCTGACTGACTGAACCTGCAGTCTTAAGCTTCAGGTCACATGTCAGCTGAATGGCTGTGGCTCCCTATGATAGCTGGATGGTGGATCTTCCTGTGGGGAAGGTCCGTGTACCTGGTAGAATTGAGCAGCAGAGGCAGGCACACTTCTGGGCTTGGCTTGCTGCCTCAGAGGGGCTGCATGGTGTCCATGGACAGTAGGCCACACAGAGACCACGGAGGCCAGGAGTCGAGGTAGAGTGTCCCGGGTCTAAGTTTCCCACTTGAAGGACCTCTTGGGGGTCGCTTGAAAGCCATATTATAGAGTGCTTGGACTCAGACGTGTTTTTGTGGCATTTCTGTGAAGGCATGGGTTACCTGCTGAGGAGAGGCCCCAGTTGCAGAGCCTCCTAGGTGCTGGGCTAGGATGTAGATATACTGTATGACCTGGGACACGCAGGAATTCAGAGGCTAGGAGCCAGGCTTCTGTGTCTTGCTTCCTGTCTACAGCTGTGTCATGCTTTGTATTCGCCATAACCCTCATGGAAATGGCCATATTTATTTGTCACTATACATGCCTAGTTCAGGGGTGAGCATGGATAGTGGTAGTACAGATGTAGGGATTATACTGCCCAGACTGCCCTACAGTGTACACGGAAAAATACATGTAAAGAATAAGTTAAGTTTTCTGCTCTACAGTAAAGGGTGGGGCAGTGCTGTGCTGGCAGCAGTTACGGGGGAAGGTGAAGGAGTAGGATTCTTGCCAGGCTGCTGTTCAGAGCCCAGGGGCAGCTTCGGGCACTGGGGAGTGAGCAGGGTAGTGTGTACCAAGCTGGCTCTTGTTAGCCTGCTGGGCAGCTGGGTGAGGTTGATGGGTGGATACTTGGAACTCACAGAAGGCTAGGAGGGGCTGCCAGTGTGTGGTTTGGGGTAGGTGCCGAGGATGCACTGACCCTTGTCAGGGGAGGAGGGCTGTCAGTCCATTGGCTCCATCAGAGCTGGTGAGTGCCTCCACCCTTAGGTCAGCCTAGGGTAAGACACAGATGATTCCTCAGATATTAGCTATCTGCCGGCGGGGGTGGGGTAGGGCTGTTCTTGTCCCTCAGGAGGTGGCAGCTGACACACAAGGGAAGTCCAGGGAAAGCAGCAGCCTTGTTCTGTGGGAGGGGTCTTTGTCCCCAGTAGACAGCAATGGCTGGTGTTGGATTTAGTTGCTAGTGAGTGCTGTTAGCAATTCCAGACCCCACTGCCTGCCTCTGGAGCCTTTGCTGATATGAGGGTAGTGTGATTTCTGTTTGCTGTTTGCTGCTGCCCCTAGGTTTGTGGCTGGTATTAGTTCAAGGGACTCTATTCAACTGATAATGAGCACGCCATATCGTCCTCACTATAAATTCTCAGGAGAGATTTGGCTGGAAGGTTTTGAGGTTATCCTTGCGGATGAATCCCAGTGATGGGTGTTAGGACTGTTCCCGGGCCCCAGTAACAAGAAAAGTGGAAGCAAGTTTATGGGTGATCATTAATCCAGAGACATTGTAGATTGCTTCCTTAGAGGAGCCTGCACGCATCTTTGGTTCCAGGGTAGAGGCGCCCTGGCCATTGGTGGGAGGGCTGCAGTGTGGCCTCACGAGTCTGCTGCCTTCCCTCTGGTGCCCTGTTGTCAGCAGAGCCTTTCTCTCTTCAGGTCTGAGTTTACTGACAGCATCCTCTCTGTGCACCCCTCTGACGTGCTGGACATGCCTGTGGATCCGAATGAGCCTACATACTGCCTGTGCCACCAGGTGTCCTACGGGGAGATGATTGGCTGTGACAATCCAGACGTGAGTGGATCTCAAAGGATAATGGGACACACCTTGTAGATCCGGGCAGGTGGGAGGCTCTCTGTGTCTAACAAACAGAGTGCACGGGTGTGACCAGACTTTCCCCCTTGCTTTGCAGTGTCCAATTGAGTGGTTTCACTTTGCCTGCGTGGATCTCACCACAAAGCCCAAAGGAAAGTGGTTAGTATGGGGGTGACTGCAGCCTTGGGCAAGCCTGTCTGGTGCTCTGGGTCTTGTTGTATGTCTCCATACTTCTTCAGCATTGGTCCTGTCTGGGGAGGGGTGGCGGTGGCGGCAGCAAATTTACAGAGAGAGAGAGAGAGAGAGAGAGAGAGAGAGAGAGAGAGAGAGATCGATCTACTGCTCAGCTTACCTGGGTGTATATAGTATTTACACTACAGCCCTTTAAAGAAGGGTTCCCTCCATACCTCCACCCCAGTGTGTGTCCAGTGTGCCAGGCCAGAACTCTATCACTGAACTTGTCCCCTTCACCCTCGGGCTCATGTTGGGTAGAGGTTATTTTAAGTGAAGACGAGGAGAGGAAGTGCTCATCTCCAGGGAAAAATTATGAAGAACACGCGAAGTACCTGTAGAATGGGTGTTTTCCCTCCCAGGGGTCTCCATCTACCACAGCATAGGCTTATGCATTCTTTTTCCATCCTGCATGCGGTCAGCAGGAGGCTACTTACTATTCAAGATGTTCCCAAGGTTTTATTTGAATAAAAACCTGGTTTTGTTGACTTGTGTTAAGAATGGATGCATGTTCTTAAAATGAAATAGTAGGAACTGGGCCTTCCTCGCAGGAACACTTGGAGCATCTCATGGTAACATCAGCCTGTAGCCAGTTTGAGAGTCACCTGGGAAAGGAGGGGTGGATGCTGTGTTGCAAGGACTTTGGTCAGTACGCTTATGATGTGTGTGGTGTGAATGTAATCCCACCTTAGTGGGCATACCTACTGTGCATGGCTCCTTGTTTTATATCTCAGGGCGGTGATGGCGCACACCTTTCACCCCAGCACTCAGGAGGCAGAGGCAGGTGGATCTCTGTGAGTTAGAGGCCAGCCTGGTCTAAAAGTGAGTTCCAGGACAGGCTCTAAAGCTACACAGAAATACCCTGTCTTGAAAAGCCAAAATAAAATAAAATAAAATAAAATAAAAGAACCATATGGCAGGTGCCATGGCTGTGCCTATGCCTTGTGGAAGTGGGCTGGGCTGCGCTGGCAGTGGGCATGTGAGAGCAGGTGTGTGGCTGGGCTGCTGATGGATGGTGATTACTTGGATGAGGAAAGGGAAAAGAGTAGGCTCATGAGGCAGCAGGATCTACCTTTGAGTTCAAGTTGGACATGGGGCATCGTTTGCAGGATCCCCAGGTAGGGAGTGGGACAGCACTGGCAAAACTGTTGGGATGTGACATCAACCTTAGAGCTAGGCCCAGGGCTAGACACAAGAACTGGGGAGTGGGGTTCCAGTTTGTGTCTCTGTAGGTTACCAGCATGGGCTTCCTCAGAGGGACAGGGAGGTCTAACTGACATGGTCACTGTAGCACAGGTGGGAAGTAATGTCAGCCATAATGTGTGTCAAAGAACCGTCTCCCACATGGGACCTTACTAGATTGTCCCTTTGGATCATGAGTGGCTGACATGTTCTTGAGTGTCCATGAACACTGCCTGAGGCTCTGATGTGTGCTTGACCTGCAGCACTCGGACCTGTGGGACCTATACAGGCTCCAAGGCCCAGTGCAGCTGTCTCAGGCTGTGTCTACACAGAGTCCTCAGCATGTTCAGTCCACCAGCCCTTGGTGTCCCATTCATGGTGGGCACCTCAATCTCTGACCAGCCTTACCTTCTTGATCACAAGGCTGTGCTGGGCTGTTACCAGTCAACTTCAGCCATGGACAAGTTAGTGCCTCCAATGCCGGCTCTCCTCAGAAAGATGGCACCTCCCACTTGCTGTCGCTCGCTGTCCTCTGGCTTCCCTGGGGGATGTAGGAAGTCTATACTTGGGTGTCCTGTGTGCCAGGAGAAACGATGCAGAAGGTTGACCCCGTGTCTGTCTTGTCACAGGTTCTGTCCACGATGTGTTCAGGAGAAGAGGAAGAAGAAGTAGAGCAGAGGCTGTTGTGCCAGACTGAAGAGCAAGCTAATATATTTCTTCACTCATGTTGCAATATTATCTTTCATTTTAAAACTACCTTATTTCAACTGATATTTAAAAATCCAGTGGCCAGTTGTCATTTTGGATATTTCCCAAAATAAGAAGCCACTGCACCATTTGCACAGAACAATCTCACAGGGACTTGCCACGGTGACTTTACATGCAGGCTCCCCTCTCCTGCAACCTCCCAGCACTGGGAAAGGCAACACCACCTGTGGTGAGTGTCACTTGGGGCTGTAGGCCAAGTGCGTGGTGCAGGGTGAACACGTTTTAACCTGGTGTACTGCCACTGTTTTGTGACTTGAGGGTCAGCCTTGAGTGTCCATGTTTTCCAGGACTGTCTTGTGGCCTCATGGAAGCACAGCTGTTGCTCTGTGAGCAAAATGTTATCAGGCGCTGTCCCATGTTATGCTCTGACCCTGACCGAAGCCCAGGGACTCCTGGCCAACATACCTCTGATGTGTCTGGAAAGGACTGGCAGCTCTTCCCAGGTGGAAGTGCTCTCTGATTATGCCCAGCCTTTTCAGTGTGAACTTCCAGCCCTCCCTGGAGAGTCAGCTTCCATTAGCCTTGGACTGTCCCTTATCACAACCAGCACCGCCCAACAGCGGACAAACAGCCAGGCTGAGCTTCCACCTCTCTGGGAATTCCTGACTTTTTTTTTTACTGTGAAGATGAAATTATTGTAATAGCATGAAGGTCATGGGTCTGTGTGTCTCCGACGTGAGTCTGTCTGCTGTGAGCTGATTTTAGAACTCTGCTGTGTTGCATCCCACTAGACCAGGAAGCCTACATTCAGGGGGATTACAATTACGTGACATGATTTGTGAATTTGTGTGCCCAATAGCAGTTCTAGAATGAAGGTAGGAAACTAGAGTTATTCTTTGTTTAGCCAGTGTTCACAAAACCAGTGTTGAACTGTCTTTTGGAAATATTTGGGGGGCGGGGACATATACACAGGGCCTGTTGAGGTGTACCTGTGGTGGCTCCTTAAGTGTGACAGGGTCATGAGGGTTTCCTTTGACTTTGGTATGTTTCCCAGTGTCTCAGGCTCTCTGAGAACTAAGAAGGCCTGTCCTTGGCCTCACGCCAGAAAACGACCCACAAAACAGAGCTGGGTTACACAATTTCCAATTTAAGGAGACGCCAGTTTTTTATCTGAAGACAGGCACATTATTTTAAGGTGGTCATGTCTAAGTAGATAGGTTTCCCTCCCACTTTATCCAAGGAAAGGAAACAAAACAGAGGAAGTTGTATCTGCTCCACATCATGCCATCACGGTCATGTTCCTACTGGACAGGGTGTCCTCCACAGCCTGTCCCAGCAAGAGAGAGAGAGAGACAGGAATGGCTTGTGTTCGTGCTACTGAGTAAGTTGGTCCATGTTGACCTTTCCTGGGCAGCAGGTGCTAAGCAACAGTGTAAGCTTGTCTCCAGACTAGGAGGAGCTTTGGAAATGCGGTTCCTGTGGTCTCTGGGTTTGAGGGGCTGGCTTTCTTCTTTAGGACCACCTCTCAGGCTTAGATGTGATAGACATTTTCATTTTTTGGTTTTGTTTTGTTTTGTTTGGTTTTTGATTTTTGGAGACAGGGTTTCTCTCCTGGAACTAGTTCTGTAGACTAGGCTGGCCTTGAACTCAGAGATTTGTCTGCCTCTGCCTCCTGAGTGCTGGAATTAAAGGTATACGCTACCACCATCAGCTAGACATTTTCATTTCTTAGCCTTTTGTTGTTCTAAAGCTTTGTGAGGATAAGTTACAGGTGGTTTTTTTTGTTGTTTTGTTTTTCCCTTTTCCCTTTTTATTTTAAAGACCAGGTCTTATGTATCCTAGGCTTGCTTTGAGCTCACAGTGTAGCTGAAGATAACTTTGATCTTTTGATCGTCCTTCCTGCATCTCCCAAATGCTAAGGTTACAGATGTGCACTAACAGGTCTGGCTTTGCAATGTTAGGGACCAAACCCAGAACTTTTTTTTTTTTTTCTTTTTTTGCTTTTTTGAGACAGGGTTTCTCTGTATAGTCCTGGCTGCCCTAGAGCTCACTCTGTAGTCCAGGCTGGCCTTGAACTCACAGAGATCTGCATGTCTCTACCTCCCGAGTGCTTTTTTTCCCCTTCAGTCCTAGGGGTCAGGCCTCATGCATCCTTTAATTTAATTTAATTTATTTGGAGGCAGGGCCTAATTATGTAGCTCAGACTAGCTTTGAACTAGCAGTCACCCTGCCTGAGCCATGAAATATTGGGATTATAGGCATGTGCCACCTGTAATATCTGGACCTCTTGTAATTTCTGTAAGCACAAGAAGTTTTAAATCAGATCTTGCCTGATAATGCCTTAGCAGCTGAGTAATACCTGAGATGCAGCCTGAGGCAGAGGAGCGTTTCCTAGTGGAGGTGCTAGAGGCTGGCTACACTCCATTTTCTGGCTTCCTGAGGTCATGCTGGCTTCCCTGACTTCCACCTGGGGCCATCCTACATAGTGACTTTTGACTTATTTATTTTTGCAAATTTCTCTATCTGCTTTTCCCCCCTTCTTTTGACAGTTATAATGATGCCCCTCCCCCAATAAGATGCAAATAGCTTGGAAACAAAAGAGTTCATGGGTTTGGGGAATAATTAGCCTACCTTGTGTGAAGCTCAGTGTAGCATTGTTTGTGTGGTGGTGAGCAAAGCCACCTTCCAAAAATGATGGTCTAGGCTTGATCCTTGGCAACGAAACAGCAACAGAGAAGCAGGAAGGAAAGTTTGTTGTGTCCTCGCCAACACACTGATGGAGTGCTTGTCCCTTTGTTACTGTCTGTGAGCAAGGAAGGAGGATGTTCGAGGAGAAGTCAAGCAGCAGCTCCAGCTCGGGTGCTGTGCCGCTGGGCACCTTTCCGGAAGCCCTAGCTAGCTGTCTCCATCGTTGGACCAGATACTCTTTCACGACTGCCCATCGAGACCTGACTCTTGAGCTGTCCTTGCTTCTTGGACAGTGTGTGGGTAGGGTGACCCCACAGGTCACTATGGCAGCCAAGGCTGGGTCCTCACTATGTCATTCCCTTTCCTTATAAGTACGTGAGTGTTTTGCTAAGAGGAGAGGAATCTTCTCTATTTCCTGTGCATATTATCAGTAGTTTGAATTTCTCCAGTTTCTTATAGAAGAAGCATGATGAATTAATAAAAAACTGAGCCCTAAGATCTGTGAACATGCTAGAGGTGTGATGGTCCAAGCAGTGCTGACCGTCTGCCTGTCCAGCAGGTGAGGTCAGTAGGAGCCAGGCCACCGGCTGTGTCTTCCACTCTGCAGTGAAGAGCCATGTGGTGTGAGGGCTTGTGGATGGCTGAGGAGGTGGCCACCTGCTTGCTCCTGTGCATATGGCATCTTGCCTTCTATCCCTCACCTGTCCCCAGAAGGCCTTGGCAGGGATGCTTCAAGCAATAACACTGTCCAGAGATCAACTCCTCCATGCTCTACCGTGCCAGGGTTGGCCCTATTATGAGGTTAGGTCTTCAGGGTTTGAAACCAAACAGTGAGGGGCATTCATTTCAGGCTTTGAACCCATTTTCTATGAACGGAGACTGGTCTTCACTGCCTATACTGAGAGGAGCTTTGAAGCAAGGAGGTCTAAGAAGTGTCTTTTCCCTCAGAATGTGCTGTGGTGTTCGTTCTCTGCCACACTCCATCCATCAGGGTGATGCAGCTTTAACATGAATGTCACATTTTATTTTCAAGGAATTATTACCTATGTCCCCTTTGTAAAGGAGAGATATTATTGTAAATCTTTTTATTAAATAATGTAAAGATGTATATCTGTATTTTTGGATCATGGATTATGGATATATTGTTTAATAAATAAAATATTTTTGGGAAGAAACATTTGAAAGTAGATCATTTTGTAAACAGGCATGAATTTAGCATCCCTACGCTGTGTCAGAGTGAGTGTGCCTCATGTTCATTTATATACTCAAGAGTCCAGGGTGCCACTGAGGACTTCATGGACCTAAGACCCTGCACTTGGCTTTGGTTGGGGTACTCAGGGAAGTCAGTGGGCAGTGCCAGGACTCCAGGCTCCCATGGGAGATGTGTGCATGAATGGGGGTGCTAAGGGCTGCTGGGTACAGTATTCCTGAGGGTGGAGCATGTCTCCATGGTCAAACACTTGCCTAATGTGCTGTGCCTCCCCTGGAATGGGAACCCCAACCTGGGGGTTCTTGAGGTTGTCAGCATCCCTTTGAGGACTGTCGTGGTCTGGTTGGGCAGTTTACACAAACACAGGCACACACACATGCACACACCCACACACCCTTAACAAAATGTTCTGGAGATTTTAAAGCAAGGTTGATACCTGCTGAGGCCTTTGCCCTTGGGTTGTAGGCAGCTGCCTTCTCACCGAACTCTCATGGCAAGGTGAGTGGGACTAGGTGGGAAGGGAATTCTCTAGTGTCTCTTCTAGTTTCTTATTTACTTATTTTTGAGGCAGGGTCTCACTAGGTAGCTCTGGCTGTCCTGGAACTCTAGTAGACCAAGCTGGGCTCAAACTCACAGAGATCCACCTGCCTCTACCTCCCGAGTGCTGGGACTAAAGGTGTGGTGGCACATGCCCATAATCCTAGCACTTGTGAGGCCGGCAGGCTGATGCTGGTCTATACAGCTAGTACCAGACCAGCCTGGCCTACATAGTGACATACAGGGCTCTGAGTATACTAGGCAAGTACTCTGCCAACTGAGCTACATCCCAGGCCCTAGTGTGTCTTTATAGCAGGTCCCAACCGTAAGTCTCTGCTTAGCCTTAATTATACACATGTAGGCCTTGTTCCCAGTCACATTAGGAATTAGGGCTTCCACATAAGAATCTGGGCATATACATTACTGAGATGTCAGTCATTCCCTTGGACAGTGCTGAGTTTCGAGACACTGGTGAGCATGAAGACCAGCCTTTCACCCTTCATGGGAAACATTTTGTCAGCCGCTGTGATTCCTGTGGCAACATGTTGTGTTGTCTGTGTATACTCCAGGGTTTCTCCTGTCACGTCCCAGGGTGATTGTTAGGGTTAAGGGAAAGTCCAGTCTTGGAATGGTGGGTAGGTGACTGACTACTGATTTATTTATTTATTTGACTGATTTATTTATCACAGACAGGGTTTCTCTGTGTAGCCTTGGTTGTCCTGAAATTTGATCTGCAAGACCAGGCTGGTCTGGAATTCACAGAGATCTGCCTGCCTTGGCCTCCTGAGTGGTAGGGTTAAAGGTGTGAGTTACTACTGCTAGCATGACTGCTGGTCTTTTTGTTTGTTGAAACAGAGTTTCCCTGAGAAATTCTGGCTGTCCTGGAATTCACTATGTAGTGTCCAGGCTGGCCTTGAACTCACAGAGATCCACCTGCCTCTGCCTCCCCAGTGCTGGGATTAAAGCTGTGCGCCACCAACACCAGGCCAGCCTGCTAATCTTGACTGGCTCTGAACTGTTACTAATTCCAACGGTCCAAGATGCCATTGACTTACCAGTTAATGAGGGCTGTGGTGATCAGGTGACATAAGAGGACCCAACACCCTCTAGGCATCTTTCCTGAACAGACTGTCTTAGGGTTACTATTGCTGTGCTGAAACACCATGACCAAAAGCAACGTGGAGAGAAAAGAGCTTGTTTCACTCACAGTTCCATAAACAGCTTTCTGTTTTTTGAGACAGGGTTTCTCTGTCCTGAAACTCACTCTGTAGATCAGGCTGGCCTCAAACTCACAGAGATTGGCTTGCCTCTGCCTCCCGAGTGCTGGGATTAAAGGCGTGCGCCACAATGCCTGGCTCATCAACCTGCTTCCTTGTAGAACCTAGGACCACCAGGCCAGGGATGGCACCACTCACAATGGACTGGGTCCTCCGCCATCAATCACTACTTAAGAAAATGCCCTACAGGGGGTATCTTATGGAGGCATTTTCTCAATTGAGGTACCCTCCTTTCAGATAACTCTAGCTTGTGTCAAGTTGACATAGAACTATCCAGCACATTGACTTTCTTTTTTTGTTTGTTTTTTGTTTTTCAAAACAGGGTTTCTCTGTGTAGCTTTGGAGCCTGTCCTGAAACTTACTCTGTAGACCAGACTGGCCTGTCTCCCGAGTGCTGGGGTTAAAGGCATGTGCCACTACCGCCTAGCCACACTGACATTTTTGATGACTGCCAGTTACCCTTAGTGGCCTATGGAGTGAGGGCCAACCTAGTAGGAAGGGCCTGGTAGAAGCTTCTGGAATGTCCCTCTAACCAGTATAGGAATACAAATGCAGTTGTGACTTGGACCTGGGCAATGCCGGGGTGATGCACTGACCATGTCCCAGTGCCCCTATCTGATAAACCTGAGAGGGTGGACAGACCCTAGGGGAGTGGCCTACTGAAGGCACAGCTGCAGCTGCATGCACCATCTCCCAGAACACAGCATGTAGCTATGACCCTGAAATGCTGCATTCTTTTATCCAGCTTGCAAGGAATACCTGGATTCCTTGGCTTTTACTTGGCAAACAACACTATACTTCTAGTCTTGCCTCAGCCTCAGGAGCCTCCTGCTCTTCCCGGGACAGAGATCTAAAGTATCTGGTACAGAACTCTAATTATCTTAACATCTTACAGAATGTCCTTTCCGGGCTTGTCCCGTGATGGCAAAGGGAAGTAGGTAAGCTGGAAGTAATAACAGCTCCTGGAGCTGTCCCGGGAGAACCAGAGATGAGCCCTGTTTCCGATACCTGGTACTGTGGGGACCAGGAGTCGGGAATGCTCTGGAGAGCTGAACTGGCCTCTGTGGTACCCACAGGTTGAGTCCTAGCCCTGGACCTCTGCTTTGAGAGCTGGGCTTTCCGAGTAGTGTCTGCTGATGGACGAGCGACCTCGGCTGGGATGGAAGCCCGGGGGAGAGAGAGGAAGAGGATAGAGATCCAGAGGTCCCTAGGGAGACAGAAGCCCCTGGGGAAGAGGAGAGCTTCTAAGGGAGACAGCGGCTCCCGGGGAAGGAGCCACAGTGCGATGAAGGAGTGGGCACTTAGCTTTTGGGGCTAGTCGGGTGGACCACGATGGGGACAGTTGGGGAAAGCGCTCGGACATCCTCTGCGTGGAGTCAGATTCTGGTCCAAGTAGAGCAGTGTCCACTGTGGGACCCGGGGCACCCAGGCTGAGTCAGTAGACGCGCACCGCCGAAGGGCTGAGAAAGTGGACACAGGGCGGAAGGGCGGGGTCGGGGAGGGACCACACGCACGCGCAGTCTCTCGCTCCACCCCCTCTGGTCGAGGCCTACGGTGGTGCAGGGGTGGGAACCTGGGCGCGGGTGCGCACACCTTTTTTGCACTCGGACGGGCGCTCGGGTGCGTAGTGGGCCGACTGCAGTTCCAGGGTGGTGGGCGTTGGTGTCTGGGTCTGTGCAGCCGGGGCTGTGGCCTGTCAAGTGACTGCACGGATCGGGAGGGAGCGAGCCGGGACTGCGGGCGGTGCGAGCCTATTGGCAGCGTGGCTGGCTAGGAATGCAAATAGCTCGTCCTCCCTGACGTCACGGCTCAGGGCACATGCGCATTCTATAGTGTGTTTTTCCGTCCCAGGTAAGGCGGAAGCAGCGGCCAAGTAGGGCCTTCAATTGGAAGGTGGCGTTTCCTGGATAGCTACCTGTGTGAGCTGCCTTACCCGGGCCAGTGTGCACTGTCGCAGTTCCCTTCCCTTCCCAACAAGACGTTTTTGTTTATTACCCAGGCTTTTTAAAACTTGTGGCAAAGTATACGTAAAATGTAAAATTGAAAAATTTGCCTTTCGTCTCTGTTTGGGTGCATAATTCCGTGATACCTTACCTTTTTGTGACTTAAAACCTAGTGTTGTTTTGAAGGGGAAGGCTGTTTGCAAAAGTTAAAATACAACGCCCAGGAGAGAATGCATCACTAATATATATATATATATATATATATATATATATATATACATACACACTCGGTGAATTCTCAGGACTGTTATACTGGGTGAAACCTTCAGAACTGAGCCCTTCTAAGTATCTCAGCCTCTGTGTACTGCAACCCTGATACCTCTCTCCTTGTCTTCCTTTCTTATACCTCTCTCCTTGTCTTCCTTTCTTTTTCTCCTTTTTTTTTTTTTTTTTTTTTTTTTTGAGACAGGGTTTCTCTGTGTAGCTTTGGAGCCTATCCTGGCACTCGCTCTGGAGACCAGGCTGGCCTCGAACTCACAGAGATCCACCTGCCTCTGCCTCCCGAGGGCTGGGATTAAAGGCGTGTGCCACCACCATCTTTCTAGTGCCAAGCCACCCTGAACCTCTAGCCCAGTGGTTCTCAACCTTCCTAATGTTGAGGCCCTTTAATACAGTTCCTCATGCTGTGGTGACCCCCCCAACTATAAAGTTATTTCATTGCTACTTCATAACTGTAACTTTGCTACTGTTATGAATTGTGATGTAAATACTGATAAGCAGGATATCTGAAAAGCGACCCGAAATGGGTCGTGCCCTGCAGGTTGAGAACCGCTGCTCTAGGCAATGGGTATGTGACTTCAGATGTGGTACTGAGGCCATTGTGTGGCTTTCCCATTACTGCATTGCTCAGGAGTTGCAAGTTCAACCTCTTTATTATTTATTTATTTAAGGGCAGGAGCAATGGTGCTCCATTTGGTGCCTAGGTGTTCTGCAAGGCTCTTCTGGGCGTCTCCAGGATGGAGGAGGACCTACACTCAGGGAGCCTCAGTGGGGTTGAAGTCACTGGGTTGCCCTCGCCATAGGCACAGCCCCTTGGCTTGCAGAGGGTACTCCTCGGCCTCTGGCAGCCCTGAGGTGATACTGACTCCTGAGCGATACCCTGTGCAGCGGCTGCCGTTTTCCACTGTGTCTGAGGAGGACCTGGCTGCCT